GGGACCATTCCTCCACCTATTGCTCCACTCCCACTCTCTCATTTAACCTATAGAACTGTACTGCTTGTTTCTCTTTTACCTGAATAGATATTTTTGTTAGTCAGTTTTTTGTTCTATTCTTGGTGTGTCCATTGGTATATCTAGGTAGTGTCTCTGTTATCGGCTGGCTAGGCTGTACTGTTGTACTGTTGTCCACCTTCTACTTGAGGCATAGTCTATGCTTCACCGCAAAACCAGCGCCACTACCAGCTGACCGTGACACGCTTTAGCCTCCAGTCTACCATATATATTTCAATAAATATATCCTTCGAGAATCGTTGAGTCTTCCCATGGATTCCCTCAATTGCCACCACCCGCTTAATAGTCTATCACCATACGTGTGAAAAATAGTACATTTTCATACGATTGCGGCAAAGTAGTTTTGATCTCGTGTGTTGTGTACGTTGTACAGTACGAGTCGTAACTGACTAATATAATCCCTTGTTTCTGTGAGTAGCCCAATTGATTTCATGTCCCAGCGGGAGTAAAAAGCGCGATCCTAACCTCGCTTCGCTTGGTCCGATCGCGCTTTTTATCCCTTGGGACGTAAAGTAGCATATACACCACGGTCGAAAAGTGTTTTCGCTCGGGGGTGCATATTATACTATTTCAACACAATGCGTGAAAAGTGGAGATTTCCGCACTCAGAGCGTGCGTAAACTGTCGCATTACACACAGTGCTTTAACATAGTTTTATAACTATAACTTTGTTGTAGTTTTTGTAATACCTGTCTCTAAAGTACACTTTTGCGAACCGATTATTTTGCATCAAGTTCAGAAGTCGTGTGTAATGTTAATAATTCACTTTGAACACGACCTCGATTTTTAGTCACTCCTGGCGGAAACGCAATAGGGAACATGGTAGATATCGCAAAAAAACATGTGCTATGCGGGCGTGCTAAAAAGTGATTCTTTACGCACTAGGAAGATAATGTAGTACTTTTTTCAGTACAGAATCGTTTCCGTCCGGAATTAATTCATTTTTATTTCCCTCAGTTGGAGTCTCTCTTTCGAAAACGATTATTATATAATAATGAATGATATATCGCGTGACTTACTGAGTTAATGAACTCATTTAACGTGCCCGTTCGATAGAAGGTCGTTGGACTATAAATGTCTTATTTCCAAGATATCGAGGCTTCATATTATGGACCGCGAGGAGACTAAAAAAATTGGGGAAATTGTGGAAATTGTGAATTGTGAAACAGTGCAAGTTTATATGAATAGGGATATTAGTAAATGAGCAATCGAAATAATTAAATTTAAATCTATAGTTTTTGCAAACCTATCGAAACCTTCATTCAAACTTTCCCAATGTTCAAACTTCAAAGTCGAATTTTATATAAAAAATAATTGAAGATAAAGTATTACTTTCTGCCTTTGCACACTGATTTTACTATATGCACAGAATAAATTGAAGTTCGCTCAAGTAGATGTGGTTATTTCGGGTCAAAGATCATTAAAAAAATGCTCATTATTACATGCCCTACTTTCTTACCATGTATTATATTGTTTTTTTTTCACCATTTAATGGTTTTTTTTGTCTACCCTCCGGGTCGATATTGTAAATGCAAATAAAGTGATCAATCAAGTGAATGTGCTCTGAAATTTCACGATGAGTAATACTGGAATGTTAAACTCCGGGAATTGGACATTTCATTTGATTAATGATAATAATGCAAAATTATTAGTGTTCATCTATCTCCATACTCAGCGAGTCACAACTCTCAAGTTAAAATTCATGAATAATTTATTGAAATCTAATTTTCTCAAGTTCAGACGATTTACTGGAATCAGCCATGAGGAAATATTTTCTTGGATTAGCATTTCTCTCTACGTTTGTCTATTACACTCACCTTATCTCTTGGCTAATTTTTTATCTATCAATGTGCATCAATATTTAATGCATTAATGATTGAGTTGAAGGGTTTGGTTTTCCTGACAGTATAAAATCTCTTTTCTCGTCGTTGCTGGCTTATTAATAAATTGTCAACGTGGCATAATCAAGTGTGGGGACACGACCATTCACTAAATGAAAAATGATCTGCACCTGTAACGGTACATGAAAATTCTTTCATTCACTGTCGACTGAAATAATCACTTGCTTCAGAAATATCTATATGCACCAATTTGAAAGCCATAGGTAGGCATAACGAGGCCGATACTCGTTATCGTATGCATATAACGAGTCCTCGGACTTAATCGGCATGAGGTGCACAAGTACGCACAAGGCCGGGGCTCGTTATCGCTCAATGCATCCGTATAATGAGTCCTTACGGTATTGCAATGTGATACCCGTGTGTTTACCTCCAACAATATCACCCCGGATGTAATTTTTGCCCTTTCTCTCCAGCTGTTATCATCAGCTTCAAGGTTCACACTCTTGAGACTTGACCCTGTTTCTCTCTTTCATTGAAAAATTTTCCTCGATGAAAATTTTTGCCTCTTCCATTACATTTTTATCCCACATGAATTTCAAGGTATTTTAGAGGGATTATATATTTTGTAGAGAAATTCAACATCAAGTGGCAATATCAGAATATTTTTATTCCGTTGAAATCTGTCGATTTTTATTTAATAAACAAACAATCATTGAAATCATTGATAAAAATGGAGTTTCCTCGTTTTTCTTCCATGGAAATTGAATTTTCAATTTGCAAAATCCCTTATAATTTCCGAGGAATATATATTTTGTATAAAAATTCAACATCAAGTGGCAATCTCAGAATATTTTTATTCCGTTGAAATCTGTCAATCTTTATTTAATAAACAAACAATCATTGAAATCATTGAAAAAAATGGAATTTCCTTGTTTTTCTTCCATGGAAATTGAATTTTCAATTTGCAAAACCCCTTATAATTTCCGAGGAATGATAAAATGAAATCCGATGTCACAACAGTTTCATGTAGGGCTTTGAAATTCATGATAAAAGAAACTTAGCTCCAAGAAATAGCGAGAAAACTCGAGCAAAATATCACCAGTAATTTAATACTTCCTGAGGCTCAGAGACAAAGACAAGGGCTCAAGTCCCCTTTGTTCTCGCTCTTCCCAGGGTAATTCGGCAATGAAATGGGAAAAAATAAGAACACCTCAGTGATATGGGGTCATTTATCCACCGAATCTTTAACGCTCCAGCAAACTTCCTGCGTATGTCTTTGGTTGATAATATAAATTATGCTGACCAAAACGAAGAATAAGACACGCTTTGAATATTCGCCAGTATTTTCCACCCATTTGCTCGCCTATATTTGCCCACCACATCCGGGGCCCTCTTTACTCTCCCGCAACCGCATCGTTCAAATGAACAGGAGAAAAAAAATTTTGACGATTAAAAAAATGTCGACATGTTAACAAAACCATGACGAGAGAAGAATAATGCCCCTATTTTGTGTACTGTTTTGTTAGAGTATCGTGGCAATTGCTGGGAATATCAGTTATCAGAGAGAATATCAACTGATTTTCGTGGAACCCCAATTTAATTATTTATTTCCACATCTCTAATATATTTCTGACGTTCATAATCAACATCGAGTGCAAGTTTCTTTTTTGTTTCAATCGGAATTAAAATAGGATTTTACGATAGTAAAAAGCAATGAGACGTGCGACAGAAAGGAGTGACAAGTCACGTCTTGGATCCGCCCCTCTTATCTAATTTCGAATGGACAAATTCATTTACTCAATCTGGAATCTACGTCATACTCCTTGATTGACCTGGATTCTAAAATTGAAACGTATGAATCACCGGAATACACGACCTCACAATGTCACTTTCTGCCCCAATTGCTGTACTCAATCCTCATTTACTCAGAGTTGATATTGATATTCGTATTTTCCAAGACCGCAGGATTCCATTATAACTGAGTTTCTCATTAGTACGATCAGCTATTGCTATTCCAAACCGGGGGAGTAAGAGCTCATTTGGGCATGATGAGCATTCATTTTGATGTTCACTGAGCACTTCTTGTTATGAGGCCATCATTCCTTTCGGAAGACAACAGAAATTATAATTCAACAGTCTTTCTTTCCATAGTACAATTTTCTACCTCAACTTTCAATTTACACGTGAAATTACCCTGAATTTCTCATCTTTAAATTCCATTTTTTAAATATTTTTCTCTTTTCTTGCAATTTTAATTATTCTACTATTTTCGTTTTAATTCCATCATTATCGATAATCATGAAAGACTCTTGCCAGGAATAAAGGGTTTTAGAAAATTCAAGAGCGTGTAAAAAAAAGAATAGAAGAAATAAAATAATTAAAAAATAAAGTAAATTGAAATAGGATTAATTCTATGTTTCAGCCGTTGAGTTTCGTATGTAGTTTCATTGAAGTATTGTAGAATTTTCTACCTGTTCGTGATAAAGTGGAGTGGACATTAGTACAGGTGCACAGAGCAGCGGTTGTTTTGAGAGAAATGTGTACCACCAGATCTAGATGCGATATTGAGCATTAATTCGCCAACCGTTTTCCGTGGTACACCTGCACTACAGTCAGCTAAATGACCGCATTTTACCAAGTAGAATAATACGCGAAATTTTAAAGCCACACGTCCCTTTATTTTCTCCCCTTATACCACTTGTTCTCTGTACGACAATGCGGGTGTAATCTGGTGTTCTCCAAATTACCCCAATTTCACCCTCGAGAATTCATGATTCATGGTATAACCCACCTGCATGATGGTCAATAACTTTCTCATAGTGGCCAAGTTTTTTTTATGGCATGAGAATAATTATACTCGTACACAGAGCAACTAATTTTTCATTTTTTTTATTTCCCCGAGCACTGCTAAAATCTTTTGTCTGAATTTTACACGCCGAATATCAGAAATTCTCGTTATTTCTCTTCAATTTTCCCCAAAAATGAATAGAAAACCGAAACTTCAATTTTTATTGACAATATTTTTATTATCAAATCCATCGTGAAATTTTAGGTTTCAATAAAACTTGTGGAATTTCATTTTTTTTGTTCATAACAATTAATGACGCGTAACTTTCACGTAATTTTTATGATATTTTTTTTGGCTTCGGGGGATTCGGCGTCGAAGTACAAAAGCCAGTGAAAAGAAAATGGAATTAAAATGAAATTTCTCTTGAGACTCGTTTCAAATCGGTCTCGTATAGATGAGAGGTTGAATATTGCGAGATTTTTTAAATCTATGGTCATTGATTTCTTATCGTCAATAAAATGATGCGATCTATTGTACATTTCACCGTATTTTCAAATGAAAGGGCCGTGACGAGAGATATCTCGGTGAATTTACGCTCGAGATACTCCAGTACCTCATTGTTTCCCCAGGTCATTTGACTCAGGATATTCTCTCGTTGTCGATAAAATCGTAAATATCCAAGCTTTCTCATTGGATACTCGGTCTCATTAATCACTCCCCCAGTCCAATCTGAAACGATCTAAAAAAATTACAATCATACATTTCTTTTCCATTGAGAACTCGGCGAAATTAAATGCAGTATTTCATAAAAAGCCATTTTATGGCCGTCTTACTATTTTGCCTTTCAATATGTTTTTTCTTGCAATTTTTTTCATTGATAGAAACTTCTATTAAAAGTCAATTTGTTGTTCCCTTGAGTTCATTTTGAATTAGATCAGGCAAATTTTTCAGTTGAAGAAGTAGTTTTGTATAATTTTGCTATCTGGGGTTTTAAAAGGTCTAGAAAAATACTGATTATTTTTTCATTGTATTGGAAATTTCGCGAGCTCTTGAATGACAGCCCTGGCGTGCTTCACTCTCATAAATTAAAAATAGTATTCCATTGCAATTATAAGTCCTTAATAATGCAACGTCTCAACGTCAATGTCTATCATGTCTTCCGATAGCTACACTTCTACATAAAATGCATTTCTAGGAATGGTTTAGGAGTTGTTGACCCCGAATTTCGCCGGTCGATCGTATTTACCCCTCGAAATCTCATGCACTCGGAAAGTTGATTATTGCTGTCAATTCAAGGAGTTACTGTCGACTAATTCATTTTGAGAGAAATTCCAGTCAAGATTTTATTCAAAGTATTCAATTCAATTCAATATTTAAATAGCACACAGCCAAGAAGGTTTCTAATCTAGATAAATTCCTTGGATCAAAAGAAAACTCAGAGTTTCTTCAAAGAAAAGTTGAAACAGAAATTGAGTAAATAATTGAGTAATTAGAATGAGATTGATCTTAGAAATAGAAAAAATTTTCTTGGTAATGTGGTGATTATAAGTTGCGTTACTAGAATGAATCGTCAATTGCTGGGCGAATAATGGATACCATAAATAATACGAAAGATGAAACTGGAGGAGAAATTAATCGATTCAAGGGGCTTTAGTAATCGGGTCAATTCGATCAGGGTTTGGCAAGTGGAAGCAACGCCATTACCCATCCAATAATATCGATAATGCCAATGTTGATTTTCATTCCCTCAAGTCTTTCATGACCGATTGGAAGGATTACATGGTACATTTACTCGCATTCATCATGCCTCGGATTCTATGGCCCGAAGAATTTATTTCTCCTACAGTTCCAATTAATTTTCAAACAATTTATTCGTTTTTAGAGATTTTTCAAGTCCACGGAAAAAAAAGGGATTATTTTATTGGGAAGATATTTCCACGGGAGAGGTTTCTTATCTGTTGAAAAATACCCGCAATCAAAGAAATTTACACCGAATCGATCAAATAGTTAACGATAACAGATAACGATCTTTTTGTTATCACCTTTTTTT